AAGAGGAAAAATGAAACATATTTTAGAAAAGATGTATGGTGCAGCATATATGAAAATGCGGATCACAATATAATGTCAAACCTTGTTGTATTCCGCCAACAGTATTCCTCTCGCATGAAACCAACCACTGCTTCACCTTTCAAAGAATACATCTCCAGCTAATTAAAAGCTTCCAAGAGCAATATAATATTAAAATAATATATGCCACGATCTCCACGAATCATGGCATTTTTTATTAGATCCAACAAATTGCCGAAATTTGTTCAAGTCATACGATATCATCTGACTATTATATATTGGGGAAGACAAGGCAAGATGACTACTGTTGGACTAGTGAAGATCTTGTTGCGGTGAGCTTGAATCTCTTTAAAGGAAGCGAGATATCCGCGTCAGCATGAAAATATTTTATTTTTTTATTTTATTTTTCAACTGTAATTGCATTTTCATCAACACCTTTTAAATACACACTTCCATTTGTTCAAGCATATATGAAGGATCTGGTAGTAATCTGTGTTCGAAACTAGACAATCAGAGAAGTAAAGAAATGTTAGTTCAATAATACAAAACATAAAATAATTTGCAAGCCCACAAGTTGCTTGTGTGTCCTTAAGGAATTTAATTTCCTCATTGTTGCCTAAGGTTATGGATTACTTCCTAACGGAAAAATTATTTTGTAATACTGGCAATCGAAATTACAGAACTTAATTAGATCGAACTCAATAAACGGAGTAAAACAGTGCAACAATGTAGAGATTTCAAATTTTTCTGTATGTGAGGCCAAGCCTCTAAATTTATAGACAACGAAAGAGTGAAATGTATAGGTGCAATTCAAGAGGTGCCTCTTCCATTTCTCATTCACACCCTTTAGAAAGAAAAAAAAACCTAACATGATCAACTGGACCTACATGATAGCATTACTACTAAATAGATACATCAATCATTCATGCATATTAAAAACTAAATAAAAGTAGACATTAATAACTCTAGGCGTGCAAATAATCCACAAATTACCGCGGCAATAATAGAAAAATAGCTGTGTGTATTGCTGATATCTGCTTAGGACAGAAATTACTTATACAGTTTAAATAAAAAATTCGACTGGATTGTGTTTCAATAACCAATAAGTATGCCTTCTTACAAATTTTCTCCAAATCCAGCCTAGTATCGAAAAAAAACAGAAAGACAAAAAAAATAAATGGATGTTTCAAATAGAGATACAGAAAGACGAAGTGAAAAATCTAAAGCAACAGAAGGTGTATGATATCTGTTGGGTGCAAAGCACACACAAGTATACACGGTCAACGAATAATAAACTGATGAAAAAGTTGTGGGGTCCATTCCATCAATATAGATATGTGCTTATATAATAATACTTGGCTGAAGTTTATACTTGGTGACCAAATTTGGAAAGATGTGGAAGAGAATCAAATTGCTCCGGTAGAATACTTTGAGCCCACGGCTCTTTTGACTTATAAAAGGAGGGCATTCTCTCAATTGTAAATACACCAAAAAGCAGAGAGCAGAAATAGAGAGAGTAATCCACAGATCGTAGTCTGTGAGATAAATGGCGAGTGTGACTGTGTGAGTAATATTGTTGTGATGTAGTTAAAATAAATAGTGTTATTTCTTTTGAAGTTGTAGTAGTCTCTTGACACTACTAAGTTGAAATATTATACTGATAATATTGCTCCGCTCGGGTATTATATTTTATCCCGTTAACAGATTTGGTGTCTTTGTTACTCTCTTGTGTTATTGTTTATTTATCGTGGATATTATTTCTGGACGGGATATTATTTTCCCAACAAGCTATGATAAATAATGGTCTGCTATCTTTTCAATACCCCGTCTCATAAAAGATAATTATGAGAAATGGTGTCTATGCATGAAAGCCATTCTTGGCTCCCAGGATGTGTGGAAAATCGTAGACAGAGGGTATGCAAAACCCGATCATGAGAAAGCTCTGCCTCAAAATAAAAAAAAATATTTTGGCAAAGACAAGGAAGAAGGATCAACAAGCTCTCACGCTCATCCACCAATGTTTGAATGATGCCATGTTTGCGAAGGTGGCAGATGTTACCACCTCAAAGGAAGCTTGGGAAATTTTACAAAATTCTCTCCAAGGAGTTGACAAGGTGAGAAAAGTAAAACTTCAAACTCTAAGGGCTGATTTTGAAGTTTTAAAAATGAAAGAATCCGAATGCATTTCGGATTATTATTCAAAAGTGAAGGCTATTGTGAATCAATTAAGAAGATACGGGGTGGACATAGAAGATGTTCGTATGGTAGAAAGAATCCTTCGCACTTTAACACCTAAATTCGATTTTGTGGTGTGTGCTATTGAAGGGTCTAAAGATTTAGACTCTATGATGGTGGAGCAATCGGAGGGTTCTTTACAGGCCCATGAAGAAAAGATCAAAAAGAGACAAGAAGTGTCATTGGAGCAACTTCTTAAAACTCAGGCATCCTTCAAGGATTATGGAGGTGAAAAGAACTATCGAGGGAATGGAAAGGGACGAGACCATGGTCATGGAAAAGGAAGGAGTAATAGTTACAACTTCAACAATGAAGTTAGAAATCCACCAAACATTCAGAGGTCGTGGTCGTGGACAAAGAGGAGGAAGAGGACGTAGCTACTACCAAGAAAATAATGGACAAAGGTATGACAAATCAAAAATTGAGTGTAATAATTATCATAAATTTGGCCATTACTCTTAGGAATGTCGTAGCAATGTTGAAGAAAAAGCTAACCTTGTTGACGACTAGAAAGAAGAAGATGAGTCAACATTGTTGCTGGTACTCAAGGAAGAAGACAGGGATGATTGTAGCTCATGATATTTGGACAATGGAGCAAGCAATCATATGTGTGGATGCAAAGAGAAGTTTGTGGAGATCAATAAAACTGTGAGAGGTAATGTGTCCTTTGGAGATACCTCAAAGATTCAAATCGAAGGGATAAGTACAATTCTGATCTCCTATAAAAATGGCGATCACAAGTTAATTCAAAATGTTTATTATGTCTCAAAATAAAAAAGTAATATTTTGAGTTTAGGCCAACTTCTTGAAAAGGAATATGACATCCACATGAAAAATATGCATCCTTGGCTTAGTGATTCAAGTGGAATTCTAATTGCTAAAGTGCATATGGAAAAGAATAGATTATTTTTTCTGAATTTTAAGACAATTGATGCAAAGTGTTTGAAGGCTAATGTGCAAGATGAATTATGGTGTTGGCACATGCGATTTGGGCACTTGAATTTTGAAGCGCTCAAATCAACGGGAGAAAAGAATGTGGTGCGTAGGATACCATCAATCAACCATCCCAATCAATTGTGTGAAGCTTGTCTTCTTGGAAAATATGTAAGGAGGAGTTTTCCAAAGGAGGCCATGTCAAGATCAACCAAACCGCTCCAGCTTGTTCACACTGATGTGTGTGGACCAATCAATCCATCTTTCTTTGGTAAAAGTAAATACTTTTTGTTTTTCATTAATGACTTTAGCAAAAAGACTTGGGTTTATTTCTTGAACCAAAAATCTGAAGCTTTTGCTGCTTTTAAATTTTTTAAAGTACTTGTGAAAAAAGAAAGTGGCTATGAAATAAATGCTTGAAGGTCCGATAGAGGAGGCGAATTCACTTCAAAAGAATTTAATGACTTTTGTCAGTCTCATGGAATTCGTCGCCCTCTAATGGTACCGTATTCACCCTAACAAAATGAAGTTGCAGAGAGAAAGAATCGGATGATTCTTAATATGGCTAGATGTATGTTGAAAGCTAAAAGTATGCCCAAGGAATTTTGGTCCGACGCTGTTTCTTGTGTAGTTTATTTGAACAACATGTCTCCAACAAGAAATGTTAGAGATCAAACCCCTCAAGAAGCATGGAGTGGAAGAAAGCCAAGTGTTAATCACTTGAGAATCTTTGGGAGCATAGCCTATGCTCATGTGCCACAGCAATGGAGAGCGTAGCTTGACGACCGAAGTGTCAAGCATGTGTTTGTTGGCTATAATACGAGCTCAAAAGGCTACAAGTTATACAACCCAATTAGAGGCAAAGTGGTGGCAAGTCGCGATGTTGAATTTGATGAAGAATTGACCTGGAATTAGGAAGCTCAGGAAGAAACTTCATATGATTTTCTTCCATACTTTGGTGGTGAAGAAGAACCAGATACCGTGGAACCTATGCAAGATACGACTCCACCTCTTTCTCCAACCAATGTTGCATCTCCTTCTTCCCAAGAAAGTTCAAATGAACAGCCGCAAAGGACAAGGAGTATTCAAGATCTCTATGAGGACACAGAAGAAGTTACTAATTTTGATTTTTTCTATTGTCTCTTTGCTGACAGTGAACCAGTGAACTTTGATGAAGTTGTTACAGACAAAAGGTGGAGACAAGCCATGGAGGAGGAGATCGAGTCAATAGAGAGGAACAACACTTGGAATTTAACAACTCTTCTCAACGAGCAATTGGAGTGAAATGGGTATACAAGACAAAGAAGAATGCTGATGGAGAAGCTGAGAGATACAAAGCACGACTTGTGGCTAAGGGCTACAAGCAAAGGCAAGGCATTGACTATGAAGAAGTCTATGCACTTGTTGCCCGTATGGAGACAATTCCTTTGTCGATCTCGTTAGCGGCACAAATAAAGTGGAAGATCCATCAACTAGACGTCAAGTCAGCCTTCTTGAATGGCTATCTTGAAGAAGTAGTCTATGTTGAACAACCACTGGGATTTGTGGTCAAAACCCATGAAGATAAAGTGTTGCGGTTGAATAAAGCTTTATATGGATTGAAGCAAGCACCAAGGGCATGGAATAGTTGTATCGACAAGTATTTTCAAGACAATGGGTTTACTCGTTGTCTCCATGAATATGCTCTTTACCTTAAAGTTCATACTAATGGAGATATGTTGCTAGTTTGTCTTTATGTTGATGATCTTATTTTTACGGGTAATAACCCAAGTTTTTTTTAAGATTTTAAGAAAGATATGTCACGTGAGTTCAAGATGACTGACATAAGGCTCATGTCATACTACTTGGGCCTAGAAGTGAAGCAGATGGAGGATGGAATTTTTATCTCTCAAGAAATCTATACAAAAGAGATATTGAAGAAGTTCAATATGCTCGATTGCAACCCTGTGAACACACCGATGGAGAGTGGGACAAAATTTTCCAAGTTTGATGAAGGAGAAAAAGTAGATCCCACATTTTTCAAGAAGTCTTGTGGGAAGTTTGAGGTACTTGACTTGTACCAGGCCAAATATATTCTTTGTAGTTGGAGTAGTAAGTCGCTTCATGGAAGCTCCTAACTCCACTCACTTAATTGTCGCTAGAAGAATTCTACGTCTAAAATGTACGATTGATTTTGAGCTATTTTACTCTTCTTCTAGTGACTTCAACCTTATGGGATTTTGTGATAGTGATTATGCGGGAGATATTGATGTTAGAAAAAGCACAACTAGTTTTGTACTTTTCTCGGGTGATTATGTTATTTCTTGTAGTTCAAAGAAACAATCAATTATTACTCTGTCGGCTTGTGAAGCTGAATATGTAGCAGCAACATCCTGTACATGTCATGCTATTTGGCTGAGAAGATTATTGAAGGGGCTCAATTTACAAAAAATTGAAGCTTCGGAGATTTTTATTGACAACAAATCCGCACAAGTACTCGTGAAGAATTCAGTGTATCATGATCGAAGAAAACATATAGATAATGTATCACTTTATCAGAGAATGCATTGCCAAGAAGGAAGTCGAGCTCAAATATGTGAAAGCTCATGATCAAGCTACAAATATCTTTACAAAGCCTGTCAAGTTTGAAGATTTTCAGAGATTAAGATCAAGACTTGGAATGACAAAGAAAAATCAAAATTAAGGGAGAGATTGTGGGGTTCATCCCATCAATATAGGCGCGTCCCTATATAATAATACTTGGCTGAAGTTTATACTTGGTGACCAAGTTTGGAAAGATGTGGAGGAGAATCAAATTGCTCCAGTAGAATACTTTGAGCCCACAGCTCTTTTGCCTTATAAAAGGAGGGCATTCTCTCAATTGTAAACACACCAAAAAGTACAGAGAAGTAACAGAAATTAGAGAGAGTAATCCACAGATCGTAGTCTGTGAGATAAATAGTGAGTGTGATTGTGTGAGTAATATTGTTGTGAGGTATTTAAAATAAAGAGTGTTATTTCTTTCGAAGTTATAGTAGTCTCATGACTTTACTAAGTTGTAATATTATAGTAGTAATATTGCTCCGCTCGGGTATTGTATTTTACCCTGTTAAAAGATTTGATATTTTTGTTACTCTCTTCTGTTATTGTTATTTATTGTGGATTTTATTCTTGGGCGGGATATTATTTTTTCTACAAAAGTATCATTCCCACGAGGATTTATGACCAACTATTGTCCAATATAAATTATTTATAAATTTATTTCTCAAGTGGTGGCGAAAAAAATGATGGTGATTTTCGTTAACTAAGTTAGTACGAAACTCATAAGAAAATAAGAAAATAAGATCGCAAGTAGAGCAAACAAACACTTAGTAAAAATTCAATGAGATGGGAATATTCTGGGGTTACACGGAATTAATGTCTCTCCTATTGAGTTCTTCCAGTTAATTTAATCACTTGATTTATCTAATTTATTGATTAACAGGTTTTATTATGCTCGCAAAGTTCTTTCAATGCTTCTCTCGTCTATTCAAGCCAATCTAATACTCTATCTCTATAGAATTAGAATTAACAAAATGCATGTAGATTTCCTGCAAAAATTAAATAACCAAGTAAGGCAACTAGAATATATCTATCCTAATCGCGAATATATTCTCCGATGCCCGGATTCAAGAACTTACTCTATTCAATCTTATATGTAATCTATAGTTCCCACTTTCGAGTTCAACTATGAATTCATAGATAGTATAGTACTCTATTATTAGCTACGCAATAGAATGATTAAGTGCAAGATTGGATAAATGAATTAGCATGATAAACCAAGCAACGAAATCAACCATCAACTACAATAGTCAATAACGACTCATAACCCCAGAAAAATAAGGTTAGTAGCCATTCATGATATGGTTAAACAATTTCATAAATGTTGAATAGTTGAAAATACTAAGAAAAATGAAGAAAAACTGAGAATCCTTGCTCCCGACTGTTCCGTTCTTGTATTTTTTTCTCAAAGTGACATCCCCCGTCTAGAATAGGTTTAGTCTTCTTTTTACACGAGTTGGGGGTGTGTAGGGCCGTCAAAACATTGTCCCGAGCAAAATAGCAGAGTGTCATGTCACCCAGCATCCAGGGTAATCACATCGCACTAGCCCTGGCACTGAGCTGTTCCAAAAAACTTTAGGTCTGTAATCTACGCCAAGGGTAGCGCGATACACTACCCTGAGCGCTACACTGGCCCATTGTTTTTGCTTTATTCTCTTTTTGCTTCAAATCGTGTACTTTCGTGCCACATTGCCTCTAGGTGACTCCTACACATTGAAATATCATGAATTAGAATAAATGATTACATTACACATCCAAATTCCACTAAATATAAGCAAAATGTAAGGCGACATGCATATAAATACACATACTTTAAGCCGAATATCAACACCCCACACTTAAACTCTTGCTCGCCCTCGAGCAATGGGACTATCAACTATACACCAACAACTTACACATCATGTATGGAGGATCAAGTCAATTATTCAATCATACACTCTATCTTTGACTATGGTTGATACCGGCAATCAAGCATGAACATACGAAATTCACATTCTTCCGTTTCAAACATGCACAAGTATAAACATTTCAATTAAACCAATTCAAAAAACCTACCCATAACCACCCTACCGCAAGAGCTGACGCATTACCACTAAGCACCCTCAACTCGCACATTCACCCAACAAAAGAAGTTAACAACATTACCAATCCGTCATGAGACCATGTGCCCTTACCAACAAACAAGAGAGTGAATATAAAAGTAGTCCACACATTCAAGTATAACTTTGAACATATAGTAAGGGCATCACTCAAGTGAACAAACGGCACTAACTCTAACAAAGAAGTTCATGTGCATCCCGCGGTCGTACCGTAAGTTTGCTCGTAGTGTACATTTCTACTAATCTAAGCTAGCCGAGTCTAGGATCAATGTGGTCTTTCCGGATTATAGTGTAGGCTAAGGGATGGGTAGGATATATTTAAGAATAGTGACTAACCCTCCTAAGCATTTTAATACACTATACTCACAAGTCAAGCACATATTCTTCTCAACCAATTCATTTGCCACAACTCATACTCAACAGAGCCCCGTTTTTTTAATTGAGCACTTCTACGTTCCCACTAGTATGAATTAGTAATATTAGAATCTGTGTTATTTTTTTTTCTTTTTTATTTTTCTTTCTTTTTCTTTTTTTTACACGCATTCCTTACATTAAAGATCATCGGCTAGCGGCCTTTCATAATTTTAGTGTACCTTTGTGGGACCTTCCTAGGTTCCACTCAAAATCTACTTTCCAATATCTCACCTTACTTCTTTTAGCGCATAAGCGCCTTCGGAGGTAAAGGTTCAACAAAATTAAGTTAAGAAAAAAATTAAGGATGCGGCTTTTAATGTGGGTGCCAAGAAAAAGGTCTACAGGCTCAAAGGGGCTAATAACGGAGAAATTTTTATTTATAAGTGACAAGCACATCTATGATCAAGCAAAAAACTCCCTACGTCATTTCCTAGACTAGCAAAACTTAATTATTCGCTTCGATTAAGACACAGGGAAAGTTCCATACAATGCATGATAGCACAAAATATCACAAATCCTTACACACACATTGCACATGACTCAATCAAGGCGGTTTTGTTCAACTTTCAAGTCAAGCAAGCACATATAGTTGAGAATTTTAAGCAATAATGCACTAGGTGACATACAAGTCAAACAACTGCGAATAGGCGTCACAAAGTAGGCTATTTATTTCACTTAGGCATCACAATTCAAATAAAATATAACAGGAAGACAGAGTGCATACCATAGCTTAATGTGTCAGCACCAAACATATCAACAGGTATCTAGAGCACCTTAGTTTTCTTCCTATCCTGCTCCTAAAAAGATGAAATCAAAATACCCGGTTCAAGCTATACCCTTGGAAAAGAACCGGTGCCCAAAGAAAAACCAAGGGAATTACTACCTATGCTATCTAATAAAAATAAAAGAAATTTTTTTTGGTATTTTTAATCGGACCTTAAGAAAGATGTCCAAGAGATCCATCGACGGGAAAAGTCTGAGCTTTTTCTGATTTTCGCACCCTATATTTTTGTTTTTCCCCCAGCAACTGTCTATTACTCTAAACTAGACAACTACTAACCACACGTTATAAGAAAATTTGAGAAAAGACTTTATACAACTATACTCAGAGAGTAATTCCCTCACCCCACACTTTTTTCATGCATAGTCCATGATGCATGGATCACAGTGCAAAATATTAAAACAAGGATGAGAAATACTCTCTGAGACCTTCTAGGGCTTATCTGGCAACATGATCCTCAATATTAAGGGTCGGAACGACCCCACACTAAAGCTCAAACATGCTCCTCAGCTTCAACTCCGGGTGCTCAGACTTTCCTTACCCTGCAAATAAAAACAAAACAAAATATAATACTAAAATAATAATAATAATAATAATAATAATAATAATAATAATAAATAAAATACATGTTTGGTTGCCTCCTAACAAGTGCCTTATTTATAGTCGCGGCACGATATGAACGACTTCTTCAAGCTGGACACTTTCGTTTCATCCTCTTTCCATGGAGTTTTGCCTTCTTGCATACTCTAGGATGATCTCCTCTTTCCTCTCTGACCCTTTTCTCTTTTACCTTTACACATTCAGCTCACAACACCACTTTTTCTAACTTGATTTTCTTTTCCATGCTACTAGGCTCCACATAAGGACTTTCCTCTATCAACTTCGATTCTACCACAGAGATCATGCACAAATCCTCATAATGCTTAGGAAGGATAAGCGCCTTGTACACATTAAATGTGATTTCTTCATCATGCACTCTCATCTTTAGCTTGCCCTCTCTAACATCAATAAGTGTCCCTCCAGCGGCCAAGAATGGTTGCCCCAAAATAAGTAGGACTTTCTCATTGGCCATGTAGTCAAGAATAACAAAATCAGCGGGAAAGATGAACTTCTCCACTCGCACCAGCACATCTTCAATAATTCCTTCAGGCACTGCTAATGACCGATCTGCTAGTTGTAGAGTTATAAGAGTAGGCCTAGCTTCTCCTAAGTCAAGCTATTTGAACACTGATAGTGGCATCAGATTAATACTTTCCCCTGGATCGCATAGGGCTCTACCAACCTCGTGTTTTCCAATCGTCAAGGGAATTTCAAAACAACTAGGATCCTTCAACTTAGACGGGAACTTACTCTATACTCTAACACTGCACTCCTCAATAAGTGCGTTTCAAACTTTATCAACCTTCTTTTGTTGGCCACAATGTCTCTCAAGTACTTAGTATATTTAGGAACTTCTTGCAGCACTTCTACTAAAGGTAGATTCACACGCACCTGGATCGAGATATCTAAGAACTTTTTGTACTTGGAATTATCTTTCGATTTTTGCAACCTTTGAGGAAAAGGCAGTGGTGGCCTTACCTCTGTCTCCTGCATGTGTTCCTCATCTTTATTTTTAGCTTCCGCCTCTGGTTGAGGTATCAATCCTCAAAAACTTATTTAGCCACATACTTCTTGGGTGTAACCTCCTCTAATGCTTTCTCACTTCTAGATTAATTGCGTGTACCTGTTCAATGAGATTTCCCTCAGTATTACTTGGGAGTGCTCCAATAGGTCGGGTATTTTGTTGTGCAGCTAACTGCCCAATCTGCCTTTCTAAATTTTAAAAATTAGTCCTCAGTTTGGTTGTCTGTTTGAAGTTGTTGGTTGTCAACTAACAAGTTTTTCAACATATCATTGATGCTTTCTACCTCTTGTGGTGGCCTTTGGGGCTGATTGTAGTTTTCTTGGGGTCTGTATTGATTTTGACTAGCATGGTTTCCACCCCATGAGAAATTCGGATTATTCCTCCGGTTGTGATTATAAGTATTCCCATATTGTGTACTTTAGTTCATTGGACCTCTACTCTGATGCCCCACATAATAAATAGATTATGGATTCACCGGACATTGATCACTCGTATGACCTTCTCCACAAATTTCACAACATATGGCCATCCTCTGAACCTGCTGCATCTGATGCCCATGACTCATTTCCATCTTAGCCACTTGGTTGGTAAGTTTAGAAATTTATGCCCGCATGGCTGACATCTTATCTAGCTCAAGTGTACTTACTACTTTCTATTTTATCATCCTTCTTGGTTCACCCTCACCTTGATAGTTATGATCGTTTGTAGTGAAGTTGTTCAACATAGTTTGAATTTCACTATATGGCTTTTGCATGCAACTTCCCCCACAAGCTGAGTCTAGATTCAATTTGGAAGTCTCATCCAAACAATCAACAAAAGTATGTCCCGACACCTCATCAGTCTGACAATGATGTGGGCAGCCTCTTAGTAGTTTCTTATATCTTTCCCAAGCTTGACGAAGAGTCTTACCATCTCGTTATTGAAACCTAAGAAACTAGCTCCTCAATGACTTTGTCTTCTTAGTGGGAAAAAACTTGATTAAGAATATTCGTGCTGGATCATCCCAAGTGTGGATCGAGTTTGCAGGCTCCTTCTACATCCATTCTTTGGCTTCCCCCAGCAGTGAAAAGGGAAACAATGTTGGTCTGACGTAGTCCTTGGAAACGTTCGAATAATTATAAGTATCCGTAATTTCTAGAAAGTTTTAAATGTGTCGCTGCAGATCTTCATGAGATAGACCCACATACTGCCCTATGGACTGAATAAGCTGCACCATGTACTGTTTGAGCACAAAGTGACCCCTGATATCAAGCTTCACAATAGCCTGAGTCATATTAGCAAGATTAGGCCTTGCGACCTCTATCACTGATCGCTCTTCATTTTCTGCCATCTCGATTACTTGTGGTTAGACTACGATGCCCAAATCTGCAATTCTTGCTCTTGCTTCTGCCTCCCTACTTAACCTGTGGAAGAGTCTTTCTGGTTTAGGATCAAAAGGCGGAAGATTGTTTAAACTGTTACTTCATCTTAGCATTCAATGTTAACACCAGTAGAGTCAGAAACAGCAAAACAAATCAAATCTCGAACAAAAGCAAATAAAAGCTTATTTCAGACAAGTAGTTAATTTCTAAATCCCTGGCAACGGCGCCAAAAACTTGTTGGGTCCAAACGCACACGCAAGTGTACGCGGTCGACAAGCAGTAAAGTGAATAAAAAGTATCTTTTCCATGAGGATTTATATCAATTACTATCCAATCTAAACTATTAATAAATTTATTGCTCAAGTGGTGGTGAAGAAAATGATGGTGATTTTTGTTAACTAAATTACTACGAAACAAATTAGCAAATAAGAAAATAAGATCGCAAGTAGAGCAAACAAACACTTAGCAAAAGTTCAATGAGATGGGAATATTTCGGGGTTATGGGATTAATATCTCTCCATTGAGTTCTTACGGTTAATTTAATCACTTAATTTATCTAATTTATTGATTAACAGGTTTTATTATACTCGCGAAGTTCTTTTAACGCTTCTCTCGCCTATTCAAGCCAATCTAATACTATATGTCTATAGAATTAGAATTAACAATAATGCATGTAGATTTCCTGTGAAAATTGAATAACCAAGTAAGGCAACTAGAATATGTCTATCCTAATTGCAAAACTATTCTCTGATGCCCGGATTCAAGAACTTACTCTATTCGATCTTATATGCAATCTATAGTTCCCACTTTTGAGTTCAACTATAAATTCATAGATAGTATTCTATTGTTAGCTACAAAATAGAATAATTAAGTGCAAGATTGAATAAATAAATTAATATGATAAATCAAGCAAAGAAATCAACAGTCAACTATAATATTCAATAATCACCCATAACCCCAGAATAATGAGGTCTGTAGCCACTCATGATATGGTTAAACAATTTCATAAGTGTTTTATAATTGAAAATACTAAGAAAGATGAAGAAAAACTAAGAATCCTTGCTCATGAGTGTTCTGTGCTTGTGTTTTTCTCTCAAAGTGGCATTCCCTCCCCCCCCCCCCCCTCCAAAAATAGGTTTAGACTTCATTTTATCTGAGTTAGGGGTGTGTAGGGCCGTCAAAACCTTATCCCGAGAGAAATAGGAGAGTGTCCCGTCACACAGCGTCCATGGTAGCTCGTCGTGCTATCCCTGGCGCTGAGCTATGCCCAAAAACTTCAGGACTATGATGTAAGGCCCCGTTCAAACTTTTACTCAATACTCGAGAGCTCGTAGTGCCAAGTTAGGAATACGTGTTTGAAATTTGTAAAATTCTTCGCGGTGAGCTTGCGAGTCGCGGTTCGAACCCTTTGGACTGATCTATACATTAAAAAGTCAAGGAATAATGTTTTCCAAGAAAAGTGCGATTCTGCGGTCGAGAATGTGGTCGCATAACAGCTATGCGGACTGCATAGTCGCCGCAGAGTGAAACAGTGTGTTGGTCAATTTGAGGTCAACTATGCGGCCAATTATGCGATCGCATAATCGATATGCGGGCCGCATAGTCGTCGCATAATCCCCTTGGGATTTTGTAAGGGGCAGTTCTGCGGTGCATTATGCAACCGCAGAACGGGTATGCGGACCGCATTTCTGCCGCATACCCAGACAGTGTGTTCAGGTTTTGGGGAGTATTTTTGCGGTCCATTCTGCGGGCCGCATGTCAACTTTGCGATCGCAAATGCGATCGCAGATCTGAGTCGGGCTCCTATTTTCTAATTTTTAAAACCCGACCCCATCCCATTAAAAACACCACATTAGACCATTTTTCTATTATTTCCCAGCATATAGAGTGAGAGAGGGAATTCTAGAGTGAGAGGGAGTAATCTTCATCAAGTCCCCTCTCAATCTTTGCCCCAAATTCTTGAAGATTGTCAATTGAAATCACTAGGTCTTCATCCTAAGAGGTAAGAACTGTACCCTCATCTATAATTTCGAAATTTCTATTAAAATAGGTAATTAGCAAGTGGGTACATGGGTATAAGGGCTAGTAATCTTGCATGCACAATAGGTAATGGAGTATTGGGAGGTTGTGAATTAAAAAAATAGCAATTGGGGTATAAAATGATAGAAATCCCTCACAAAAAGGATCCTAAGATCACAATGCACCCTTAGTGCTTGATAATATGCTCAATCGAGCTAGATTATTAATCTTGTCTCTAATTCTTGGTTCGATTGTAATTCTTATGCAATAGATTGAAGTGCTAAGAGTCCCGGAACTTTATAAGAATTAGGGGAAAGCTTTATTGAGGTATGTATGGCTAAAACCCCGTCTTTTAGAAATTGAGCTTCATCGGTGGTTGTGTGAATATGGTAAGATTAAAGTTGAATTGTTGCATTGATTGTTATTTTACATGAATTGGTGTTGTAACCTTATATGCGTGAAAGATGTATCTCAACATGATCAACGTGCTATCTTGATAACTTGACAAGGGGAAAAGGATATGAATTATGTATTGAAATTCTTAGACCTCAAATTTAGATTGAAGTTGCATTATTGTGCCATCTACGTGAAATCTTATCTATGCTTACAATTTAAATTGCTCTTGTGTGCACCTACTGTCCTAAATGGCAAAGAAAATATTGAAATTGGGAACGATGTGAAATGCGGCCTAGTGCCAAGAATGATGTGATAAAGTTGTGGCACCAAGTGCCTATGAAATGATATATGCGAAACGAAATGATTAAACAACGCCTTGGTAAGGCGGCCTAGCCGATCGGGCCGAGATCGGACTCTGCTCAAGATAGCGGTGGTATTGTGAATGAATTCAGGAAAAAGGGAAAAATGAGATTGTGATTGAAGTGTATGTCTCAAATGAGGCAACCTAGCTGATCGGGTCGAGATCGGACTCCGCTCAAGATAGCAGTGGTATTGTGAACTGATGAATAGTGTGAAATGCCCCAAACTAAAGGCTATGGAAACATGATGTGAAAATTGTATGATTCTTTATTATTGATAATGTTGTGATCGTTTAAAGCTTTTGAGTTATACTTGTGATTTCCTTATTTTTGTATAAAAGTTCTTTCTAACTAGATGGTGTTTAGTTATACAAACTAGTGCTATTCGATGGCACTAACGTCCCTTTTGCCGGGGGCGCTACGTCTTTAAATGGATGTAGGTATTTCTATAGCAGGCAATATTGGTCGCAGCTAGTGCCACATCATCCTTTCAACTGACTTGTGAGCCCCACTTTATTTCGGGGTCCTGTTTCATCTGTTCATCATGTACTTTGTATTTGAGGTATAGACGGATCCTTGTTATCGGCATTTCCATATTACATTACTCTTCAGTTGTGTTTAGAGGCTCCGTAGACAGGTTGTGGGTAGTGTCGGGTGTTGGAATTGAAGTAGAAAATATTGATGTTTGACAAAGATTTATAAAACTTGTAATATTTTGATAATTATGATTTAAGCTGCTAATGGAAATGAAATGGAAGTTGTTAATGAAATACTTACTAAGTATGATTAATGGAGTCCATCTCCTATTTATTCATGAATTAGTTTGGGTAGAATAAAACCTATCAGGCTTGCTCAGTCGGGTTTACTCGGTTGAGCGCCGGTCGTGCTCTTCGGTTTTTGGGGCGTGACATGTAATCTGCACCACGTGTAGCGTGATGCGTACCTTGGGCGCTACATTGGCCCATGTTTTTGCTTTGTTCTCATTTTGTTCAAATCGTGCACTTTCATCCCACATTGCCTCTGACTGACTCCTATGCATAAAAATACAATGAATTAGAATAAATTATTACATTACACATCCAAATTTCACAAAATATGAGCAACATGCTAGGTGACATGCATATAAATATGCATACTTTAAATTGAATATCAATATCTGATAAAAATTCATTATACAAAATGTGGACTTTACCTTAGAATAGTAGAAATAAGTCGAGTAGAGACATAACTTTGTGTATATTGTTGAACATTTGGCTATTTTCAAGTTAGGTGTTTTGAACTTTGTAATTGTTTACCTATAAAATGGTATAGCTGAATTTATAGCGTGGTTTTATGACAAGTGAATCAATTTGACCGAAAAATATTAAATAACTAAGAACAAAAATAAGATTATGAAATGAAATTAAAGGAAATACAATACAATCCTGGCTATGAACTTAGCCTCTCTGGTGGCAAAAGTGAGAACAATATTCAAGAATTAAGACAAGTATAGTGTTATAAAATGAGAGCAGAATGTAGCTTTTGTGTACAAAATATTTTGTGTCTACAATGGATGTTAATTCTCCTACTTATAGCTTTATTTAGGGAGACACTATCCCCAAATCAAGCTTCCCTTGAATGAGAACAAAACCGTCATTGATGACTGCATAACGGTTGGCTACAAATACAGATATTCTCTGTAACGGCCGCCCATTGAATGCTATCCCATGTTAATACTTTGAACCTTTGCCTTTGGCTACTCTGTGTTCGGAACTCATCCAGAACTTGTCACATGCTTGCAACCTGTATTGGCTATTTGTTGACTCACATCCTACCTGTAGTCAACTCCATGTGTCATCGCTTCGTTCGTCCAACTGTTACACAAATTTAATCGTATATAGATAGTCCCTCTACTGTTCGGTGACAATACTTTAGTGTCACCGGGAAGTAGAGAAAACCATTTTCCTTAGCAGGCAAGTTTCTGAATAGTTTATGACATTTGAAAGGACGTATGTCTCTTCGCATTTAATGACTCAAACACGTGTTACCCCACGATTTAACAAATACTTTTGCCAGTTCTCGAGGTAGTTATGACCACGATTTTTGTCGTCTATAACTTCTCCACTACTTCTCGTTTTTATTCTTTACTTTTTATAACTTCTTCTTCTTCTCTGATTTACCTTAGAACCCTACTGCAAACTTCACCTTTCTCAATA